AGTCCAGCTCTCTACCGCTAGACCACTCCAAAAAAAAATAAAGATCAGAAAGGGGAGAGAGTGGTGAGACACCCGAGGCGGTGATGCGTATCTAAGGTGTTGTGGTGTTTTGTTCAAATTGTGTGTGTGTGTGTGTGTGTTTGTGTGATTTGTTTATCGAGTCGACTGTTACTAAGTTGGTTCAAGGTCTGCGACGTGATGTGTGATTGGTGTCAAACTGGGATATGTGTTTGTCCAATTAGTTTGTCCGTAGATCACAACGATCTCTGATTTTTGTTCTAGTTCTGAAATAGAAAAAGACTTTTTCTCAGTCTTTATTTTAAAATATGTATATATATATATATATATATATAAATATACATATATATATATATATATATATCTATAATATAATCGGGCTGAGCGTGTCCTTCCGTCCGTCATCGCTATAGATTTTGGGACTATAAAAGTAAGCTACGCACCATGCTGTGCTTTTCAGTGCACCGCAGTGTCTTATTATAAGTATTAGAGTAGGGTTTGTTTATATAGCGGCATAGAGCTATTTTATAATTTCCACTGTTTGTACAATTTTGCATAACGTAAAGAGAATATTAAATACACGCACATTGCTAAAACATATTAAAAGGATCAATGTCAAATATTGTTTTCTTTTTTATGCCTGAGAAAGGTGGAAACATTTTAATAATGTAATAACAGTAGGCTAGAAAAATCAAATTAATTTAACTTTTTTTTCTAATTTTGACAAGGGAGGTAATTCAAAAATAAATTTAACTCACGCTAATAAAAAAAAATGTGAATGCAAATGTACGGACGTACTAGAAGGAATTAGTGTTGCAATAATATAATTAGCAAAATGTGAATGCAAATTGTGCGGATGCGGATTGTTAGAAAATTATAATTAGCATGGATTGATAAAAGGCAATCTTTTATTTATTTCATTCACTGAATTTACTGTTTACTATTTATAATTTTTAATCGACTATTCCGCAATATTATAGGCGCGTCATCACCTTCATTGGGTGGATGGTGCGCAATGGTTTTAGTTATGAAACTCTATTGTAAATTTTTAAAATTTAAAGTACTGGGGGAAAAAATGCGTGAATGGATAAAGTGAAATATTTAGGTGAAACACGGATATTTTAAATACTGCCTATTATTTATACTGTTTACTAATTATTATTCTATCTTTCGGTTTGAGGACAAGTTAGGGGTTTTATAGGAGAGGCGTAGCGAGGGGAGGGCATATGTCCCCGGGTGCCGACCTTAGGGGGCGCCAAAGTGGGTTGGAAAAAATATGCGAGGGGGGGGGGGGGGGGTGGGGGTGGAAATCGAAAGTTTTAGGGAGGGGGGGGAAGGAGTGCAAATCGAAAGTTTGAGGGGGGTGCAAATCACCGGAAAGGGCGCGATTTGGCGCTACGGGCTAGACTGTGAGCAATATGCCTGTATGAATGCATTTAAATTGTGTCTATGTTATGAGTGTTGTGTTTGTTTGTTCGTTTTTTTTTTTTTTTTTTTTTTTTGCGTTCGTTTGTGTTGTGTTTAGTTTTGTTCTGTTCCCAAGTTGGTACATTTTAAAAAGATTTACCGTGGCGGAGCACGGGATGCAGCTAGTATATATATATATATATATATATATATATATATATATATATATATATATATATATATATTTTTTTTTTTTTTATTTGTATTTCTTATGTAAAGAATTTGATGTTGATGTTGATCTACTTGTTTCAAATAGCAAATAAAATTATTTAATAATAGAAAAAATTCAGTACTTTTTTTTTTCAGTACTAATGTCAAAATGTTGAAAAAACCTTTCCAATTAACCAATACGTTTTTCTTGAAATTTTTAATAAATATTAAGTATACAAAATAATTGTTTATGTTTGTAAGTTATACAAGATATATTATTATAGTAAATTAAATTGGATACAAAATAGAAAAAAAATATGATATAATTTTTTATAAAACTATTTTTTGTATAACACTATTATTTCACTCTTATTTTTTTTATAAACACCGAATATTTCTTTTTTATAAAACTGTTGAATTCGTTGCTTTATATTATTTCCCCTAGTTATTTTAAATGTATAACGTGACCTCTGCAAATGAATAAAACAAATATTTTTTTTTAAATCCTACAAAATAATATTCGATTAAATGCAATGAAATTAAGAAAGTAGTAAAGAAAATAAAACAAACTTCCTTTCTTTAATAAAAGCAATGATATCTATTACATATCTCTTACATATCTCTTACATATCTCTTACATATTTTAGCGACCAAAGTAATGATTGATGTGAAGTGGGTTATGACAGTAGTTAATTGTTTGGGAAACTGGGTCGGAACTACCATGCTTTCAGGGAACACATTTGACATTTTGCTCAGAAATGCGTTTAATTATTGTGTTAGGTCGTTGTGTTTAGTCATGTTTATTACGATGTGTGTATTTGTACACGATAAAATATAGGCAGCCCAACCGGGGCTACGCGATGTTTGATTGGTTAATAATTAAACTTGATTCTCTCGCATTGGTGTCCTACTTTTGACAAATTAAGCCATGGTCTAAGACCTCCACGTAGACCAGGGGTTCCCAACCCCGTGCCCGCGGGCGCCCGCCAAAAGATTCGTATGTGCCCGCCTCTCACTATTCGATAGAGACAGAATTTTTTTTCTTTAACATTATTGAAAGGTTGAAGGAGATGGAAATCGAAAGTTTGAGGGGGGGGGTGCAAATCGAAAGTTTTGTCCCCGGGTGACGGGAAGGGTCGCTACGCCTCTGGAAGGAGTTTGTCGATTTAAAATAGGTGGTGCCCGCCACCCTACCGATATTTTAGAATGTGCTCTAGAGTTAAAAAAGGTTGGGAACCCCTGACGTAGACTTATAATAGATGCTTTACTTTGCTACACTTTGATCTCATTCATAAAGCCGTGAAGGCAATTTAGAATAACATCTTTAAATCGGATACCAAGTAAACGAAAAAAAGTTAGATTTCTACCATCTCATAATATTCATTTTCAAATCACTACCGTTTATGCAGCTAATAAAATTGAGGATTTTATATTTAAACTAGAAATAAAACTAATATATATAGATCTAATATTAGATAATCATTTACACGCAAACACAATGGTAATTTAAATAAGGGGCCATCCATAAATGACGTCACGCTTTTTTGGACGATTTTTACTCCCCCCCCCCCCCCCTCCGTCACACATCGTCACAAAAAGCCAGACCTACCCCCTAAAATGACGTGACACCTTAGCATACACCCCCCCCCCCCCTCAAAATTGCTGTTTAAATTTTTTTAAAATCTGGTCTGAACTCTCGCAACATAGAGTATTTTAATCAATTTCTATTACAATTTATTCAAACAGTTTTGTAAAACGCGAAATAACGGCTAAAATTAGTTTTCTAACATTGCTTTTTTATAATGCAAAAGTGTGACGTCCCACCATCTGAACACCCCCTCCCCCTCATCACACACCGTCACAAAATTACGGACACCCCCTCCCCCCTACGAGTGTGACGACATTTATGGACGACCCCCAAGTTCTAGTTTTGCTTGCAGACGACCGATATTACGATATTTAGTTTTATACTATCTTACTTACAGACTACGACAGCACATGTTAAAATTATACGGCGATTGTTTTCAATACAGCAACTTCAAATTTCTTAACAGGAAATATATATATAATTCTCTTCTGGGAGCCGTTAGAAAACAAGCTGCAAGCGCGCCTTTGCAGACCCCTCTCTTTCTCTCTATCGCTACCCCCCCCCCCCCCCCCCACCCCCACCCCTACATGGTCTGGTGAGTTGTAGTTCACTCTAAATGTTTACATTTTACAATCATACAGCCGGGTTTGGTGACTGCTATTAGGGGCAGATAATTTAGTTTGAAACGATTTTAAACTTAGGGGAGGTAACTAAGAGGAGGCTGCTTTCACCGGGGGGGGGGGGGGGGGTTAGTGTTTTAGAGCACATATTTTCAGTGGCAGCATTGGTACTGTCGAATTCACAAATTATGAATTACTGAAAAGTAGAAAAAAATAACAACTAAATAGCGGCGTATGATACGCCGCGGGTCGGCTCGTACTTTATATTAGTTAACAATGACCCGCTTTAAACACAAAATACGAGAGGTTAGTGTTGCGTTATGTCTTGTTAGTCATTGTTACGTCCCTTGTCTGATCTTTATCTTGGTGATGTCCCTTGCGTGTGTTCTGAGGAGCCGTGTTGTTTAGGTCCCGGGCTGTGAGTACTGAGGTGAAGAAGTCTCCTGTTGTTTGGAGAAACAGGTCAGGTAAAAGTGTAATCGATATGTTTAGATTGGGTTAGCATAAAGATTGTTTTTTTTTTGTTTATGGATCTTCCATTAATGACTTCACATTCGAAGGGGAAGTGGGGGGGGGGGGTTCCGTAATTTTGTGACGGTGTGTGATGAGGGGGAAGAAGTGGGGGGGGGGGGGGCGCTCAAATGGTGTAACGTCATACTTTTGCAATATTGACGTCATTTTAAGGGGTGTGGGGTAAAATCATCCCAAAAAAGCGTGACGCCATTTATGGATGAACCCCTTATTAGTAGGATTATAATAACGATTCTATGGAAGTATAATCGTTACAAAGGGACACTGTTATGCTTGGTACATAGATAATATCAACGATACATAGGTACAATGATAAGATAAACTATACATTGTTAAAATGATAAGATGATTAGATAAACTATACATTGGTACAATGATAACATAAACCATACATTTTGGTATTTGATTTTTAAAAAAATGAAATAGTCGAACGTATGTGAAGTATTTTAAGCCACAAGTACGCTCAGCGTGTGCTTTATTTAAACAGCAGTTTAAAATAATTAAACTGGATGTGACATTTTTATGTTGCTACACATTATAGTGGTCTTAAATTGTGTTCATTTTTCAAGATGGCTTTAAATTTTGTGGGTAGTCTTCAGTGGAGGCTTACGGCTATAGCGGCTTTTAATTTTGTTGGTAGTCTTCAGTGGAGGCTTACGGCTATAGGTTGAGCTAAGTGTAGCACCAGCTACGACTGTAGCTCTAAGTCCTCTTTGGGGCAGTTGTCGTAGAGTTGATTTTCACAAACATTTTTTGGCATGAAGGGGATCCTGGGCAGGAAGGGAGCGACCTTGAGCAGACGCGGGTACCAGGACCAGCTGAATACCTGCTCCACGTCTGCTGACGATAAACTGCTGCCGAGGTCGGCGTGGGAGGTCCACGTGGTCATACCACGTGACTCGCGCGTACCTGGAATTAAAAAAAAAAGTTATGCCGACAACTTATTTTTAAACTATTTTTATGTAGTTAGAACTGATTCATTTAAAACAACACCTTAAACATAGATGTACTTCCTGAAATAATATACCAGTTTTTTTTAATAATATCGTAATTATTAAAAGTTAAAACAATACTTATGTAGCTTGAAATAATAAGATGAATGCAATCAAGTGAAAATATTAAATGATTTTTAAGTAGCTAGAACTGATTCATTTAAAATGGTGCCTTAAATATTGATGTAATTCTTAAAATTATATATCCGCTTTTTTAAAGTGTCGAAATGATAAAAAGTGAAAAACATCACTTATGCAGTTTGAAATAAAAAATATTAAGGCAATGAAGAAAATATATTATACTATTTTAAAGTAGCTACATCTGATTCATTTAAAATAGTGCGTTTAATATGTATGTAGTTTAAAAAATGGTATTGCCCGATCGCTTTTTTAAAATGCCGATACGGTTAAAAATTAAAACATTACTAATGTTGTTTGATACAATAAATATCAGCGCAAACAAACAAAAGAAATTCAAGTTATAGATACATACCTGGGACTGTGTTGTCTAGAACTAAAGCCAAAACTCCACCTATAAACATCGGTGTTCCAAATATCACGTAGATAATTCTATCAGCATCGTCAGAACCTGTTTCGAATAAATTACAGTGAATTAGAGTTTTTGTTAAAAACACCTGATTTGGTGTTTCGTCTCCTTTAAAAAAAAAAAAAATATTTAATGAGATCATGAGATCATACATAAATATGTTTTATGTAGTTTTAAATTAAATTTGTAATTAATTAAAAGAAAATGGCTGTTAATTTGTAATTAATTAAAACAAAATGGCTGACCTGTTTTCATTGCGGACGGATGCATCTCCATAGCGGCAGGCAACACAATGCCAGCCATGAAAGGTAGACCAAACACTAACAGATTTCTTGACGAGGTCATATCCACATACTTTAGGTTCGACAATCCGATGGATAAAAGTGTGGATATAATCACCACCATGACACCACCTTTGGGTTGAGATATAAAAGACGGCCTTAAGGTTGTCTGAATTTATTTTTTTATGTATTGGTAAAGATTGTGATGGGCTAGGTCACTTTCATTTTATAAGTGCCATAATAATTAAATTATTTAAACAACAAATTATTTAACCAACAAACTATCCAACCAACAATTTATTCAACTAACAAATTATTCAACCAACAAATTATTCAACCTACAAATTATTAAGCCAACAGGGTATTTAAACAACAAATTATTCAACCAACAAATTATGCATCCAACAAATTAGACAACCAACACATTATTCAACCAACAAATTATTCAACCAAAAAATTAGGAACCAACAATTTATTCAGCCAACACGTCATCCAACCAACAAATTATTCATCCAACAAATTATTCATCCAACAATTTATTTAACCAACAATTTATTTAACCAAGAATTTATTTAACCAACAATTTATTCAACCAACAAATTATGCAAGCAACAAATTATTCAACCAACAATTAATTAAGCCAACAACTTACCCAGAATGGGATTTGGGATGGTCGTGAGCGCGGCCCCAGCTTTACCGATGAAAGAGAAGACGAGAATGATGATCCCAGTGGCATACATCACTGAGCGGCTTCCTGTCTGTATACAACAAAGTAGAGTATACTATGTTCAACTGATATGGCTCCCTGGTCTAGTAGACAATAGGGCTGGTAAGTAGGTCATCAAGTATGGCTCAAGTAGGTTTTATTGAGCCATATAACTGGTTGGTGACCTACTTACCAGCCCTATTGGACGATAGCGCATTGGAAATTGAAGCACAAGGCCAGGGCCTAAGTTGAGAAGAGCCAGATGTTGCCCATGCTGACGTATCTGTTGTTTAACTCTAGATTAAGTCTAAACAAACTGTTCTAAAACAATAATATCTATAGGTTGTTTTTTAGTGTAGGTACTTTAACGCGATTATTAAAAACAAATTATTGCCTTAAGAACGACGAACTCCTTACTTACTTCTTTCTTTGTTCTTAATTTAAGTGTTGGAAGGGATCCCCTCCAACACAATTAAGTATACGTGTCAACTGGTTATGCGCCATTGAGGCCATTTACTCTGATTTTAACATGCTTTTCTTTTTGGATAAGTTTCCATAGCCTTTGACCATGCAAGAACAAACTACAAGGTAGCAGTTGTTTGATTTTGGAGTTGTCTCTCCTATAAGAGTGGTTCGAACTCAGATTTTTCGGATTAACAACCATGAGCTTTACAGCTTTACCGACTCGACCACGCCGACCCCTGAACTCCTATCAATATTTTACATTCTCGAACTAATTTTCCACCCCATCTCTTGTATATCGCTGACTCTTTTTCCCCACCGTGTTTGTTAACTAGACAATAACTCTTCTAGTTCTACTGTTTTATAATCAGAGTTTCTACCAGGCATCTCTTCGGGTGGGGGGGGGGGTCGAAGAAAGGCTACCGTCCCCCGAACAAAATGGAATTTATATAGAAAATGTATACTTTAAATAGTGTCCCCCGAGCGGAAATTTTAGTCCGCACGCCAAATGCCCCCCCCCCCCCCCGAGAAAAACGTCTGGAAGAAACACTGTTTATACTTGTAGTCTAACCAAAGCTCCACTTGTTCTACTGTTTTATAGTTGTGCTGTTACCAAAGCCATACCTTAGACAACTTGATGAGAGCGATGTTACTGCTGTACGAGGTCGTGGCGTGCCCGGCCCCCACAGCCCCTGAGATGATGCTGCCGATCCCCTCGATGAGAATCCCCCGGGAGATGGCTGAGTCCGGGATGCCGGGGATCTCGCACGCCTTCTGGGCGGCGTAGTAGTCGCCTACCGACTTGATGGAGGAGGACAGGCAGGGCACCAGGAACCCCAGGGTCAAGGCCAAGCTGAGTTTCGGGAAGCCAAACTGGCCTGGGCGAAACAGAAATGTGTCAGTAGCGGGAGTAATAAACATAAGTTGTAGGAATGAGTAAAGATCAGTGTAAAGGGAATTCATATATCGTTGTTTATGTAAATAAACATTCGTTGAAAAATAAACTTTCGTCGTCCATGGCAGTGGCGTAGCGAGGTCGGGTGTCACCCGGTGCGGCACTTAATGGTGTCACCCCCCAGAGGCGTAGCGACCCTTCCCGGGGACAAACTTTCAAATTTTCGATTTGCAACCCACCCCCCTCAAACTTTCGATTTGCACCCCCCCCCCCTCAAGTTTTCGATTTGCACCCCCTCAAACTTTGATTTGCACCCCCCTCACGTTTTTCTCTGTATATTTTACTATTTTTCGCCTTGGTGTCACCCACTAAATGGTGTCACCCGGTGCGGTCCGCACCCCGCCCCCCCCCCCCCTCACTACGCCCCTGGTCCATAGCAACGTCAGCAAATGTTCATCCATTTTTTTATTTTTATGCTTAACTCTTTGAGTTTTAACTATAGGCTATATATGATAGAATTGGGTGTAGAAATAAGCATTTTGGCTGATTTGGTACTGATCACCCGCTCATGCCTTTAAGTCAATTTCTTCTAATGCCCCCCCCCCCCCCCCCGTATTTTACCATCTTATTCCAGCAATATCGTCTGGACATCAGCTAACAGCTATAGTAGCTATATGGGTTTGAGCTACAATTGTTAACTCTAGCTTGATTTTTTTTTAAAGGTTTAATTCCAGATAGTTCATATTCGTTGTACGCAAGAGCATCTGATTTTCAATCGAGTTTGATATTTAATACTTAAATTCAATATAGTTTAAAGTTTAATGAATTCTTAAGAAAAAAGAAGTGAACATAGCTGGAAGTGTACCCATCTACTGACTATAATCTAGGTATGCCTATTTGCCTAGTCTACTGTCGATAATAGCCGTAGCAATACGTGGATGTGTACTTGTCTATTTACTGTAGCTGTAGTTAAAACTCATATGTGTACCGGGCTAATGACAGGCAGCAATACCATAGACGTATAATGGTCGATTGACTGAAGCTATAGCTATACCCTAGACGTGTACTTGTCTATTGACTACAGTTGTAGCTATAACTCATATGTGCACCAGTCCATTGACTATGGCTGTAGTTATAACTCGTATGTTTACCAGTCCATTGGCTATAGCTGTAGCTATAAATCATATGTGTACCAGTCCATTGATTATGCAGCTGTAGCTATAACTCTATGTGTACCAGTCCATTGACTATAGCTGTAGCTATAACTCTATGTGCACCAGTCCATTGACAATGCAGCTGTAGCTATAACTCTATGTGTACCAGTCCATTGACTATAGCTGTAGCTATAACTCTATGTGCACCAGTCCATTGACAATGCAGCTGTAGCTATAACTCTATGTGTACCAGTCCATTGACTATAGCTGTAGCTATAACTCTATGTGCACCAGTCCATTGACAATGCAGCTGTAGCTATAACTCTATGTGTACCAGTCCATTGACTATAGCTGTAGCTATAACTCTATGTGCACCAGTCCATTGACAATGCAGCTGTAGCTATAACTCTATGTGTACCAGTCCATTGACTATAGCTGTAGCTATAACTCTATGTGCACCAGTCCATTGACAATGCAGCTGTAGCTATAACTCTATGTGTACCAGTCCATTGACTTTAGCTGTAGCTATAACTCTATGTGTACCAGTCCATTGACTATGCAGCTGTAGCTATAACTCTATGTGCATCTGTCTATTGACTATAGCTGTAGCTATAACTCTATGTGCACCAGTCCATTGACTTTAGCTGTAGCTATAACACATGTTTACCAGTCAATTGACTTTAGCTGTAGCTATAACTCTATGTGTACCAGTCCTTGACTATGCAGCTGTAGCTATAACTCATATGTGCACCAGTCCATTGTCTATGGCTATAGCCATTGACTGTGCAGCTGTAGCTATAACTCATGTGTTTACCAGTCCATTGACTACGCAGCTGTAGTTATAACTTTATGAGCACCTGTCCATTGACTATGCAGCTGTACCTGGGTAAGTGACGTGCAGCCAACTTGAGGTGTAGATGATGTCGACCTTGGCATCAGCTCTGGCCATGTACCCAACGTCCTCCCTGTTGTCAGTGAAGACGTCACAAGCCGTTAGAATAGCCGTGACTATCCACATGATGATCACAGCCAATAGAATCTAGTGGTTGGGTCAGAAAATAAACACTGTATGTATATCAAAAGACTTTCTAAACTAAATTAAATTCTATTATATTAGATTCAAAACAACAACACTGTATGTATATCTAAAGACTTTCTAAACTAAATTAAATACTATTAGATTAGATTCAAAACAACAACACTTTATGTATATCAAAAGACTGGAAACTTTCTAAACTAAATTAAATTCTATTATATTAGATTCAAAACAACAACACTGTATGTATATCAAAAGACTTAAAACTTTCTAAACTAAATTAAATTTTAATATATTAGATTCAAAACAACAACACTGCGTATATCTAAAGATTTAAAACTTTGTAAACTAAATTAAATTTTATTATATTAGATTCAAAACAACAACACTGTATGTATATCAAAAGACTTAAAACTTTCTAAACTAAATTAAATGTTATTATATTAGATTTAAAATAATTAAAAGCGTTAAGTTACAAAACTGCTTCACTTTTAACATTGAGCCAAACACGAAGCTACAAATGTGCCACAACACTGAGTTTCAAATCTGACATAACATTGAGCTACAAATGTTTCATAACATTGAGCTACAAATGTTTCATAACATTGAGCTACAAATGTTTCATAACATTGAGCTACAAATGTTCCATAACATTGAGCTACAAATGTTTCATAACATTGAGCTACAAATGTTCCATAACATTGAGCTACAAATGTTTCATAACATTGAGCTACAAATGTTTCATAACATTGAGCTACAAATGTTTCATAACATTGAGCTACAAATGTTTCATAACATTGAGCTACAAATGTTTCATAACATTAAGCTACAAATGTTTCATAACATTAAGCTACAAATGTTCCATAACATTGAGCTATTCATGTTTCATAACATTAAGCTACACATGTTACATTACATTGAGCTACAAATGTTTCATAACATTGAGCAACTAATGTGACACAACATTGAGCTACAACTCTTCTTCTTCTTCTTCGTTCTTAATTATTAGTGTTGAAGGGGATCGAGATATATCTGCCAGTGGGGTTTGAACTCGAGACTGTTCGAATTTATCAACCATGAGCTTTTTGCCGACTCGACCACGCCTTCAGCACAATTAAGCGTTACGTGTCAACTGGTTATGCGCCATTGAGGCATTGACTCCGATTTCAGCCTGCTTTTCTTTTTGGATTTGCTTCCATAGCCTTTGTCAAACCAAGAACAAACTACAAGGCAGCAGTTGTTTAATTTTGGAGTTGTCTCTCCTAGAAGAGTGGCTGTCCTCAGCTAACGAGCCTCATCTGCCCGAGGGTTCGAACTCGAGACTTTTCGGTTTAGCAACCAGAAGCTTTACCGACTCGACCACGCCGACCCAACATTGAGCTACAAATGTGCTAAACATTAAGCTACAAATGTGCTAAACATTAAGCTACAAGTGCGACACTATATTGAGCTACAAATTTGCAACATTATTGAGCTACAAATGTGATACATCATTAAGTTAAGCTACAAATGTGACACAACATTGAGCTAGAAAATGCCACATCATTAAACTACCGCTGTGCTGCAGTTACATTATCAAACTACCAATGTGGTACACTTACAGGTATCAATTGGAAGATCTTAAATTTGGACCTGGGTTTGTTTTTGTTTTCCTTTCCTATCCTGGGTACCGGGATGCCGATTTTGTTGAAGTACAGGATGAAGATTAGTACTAGCAGCGTGCAGCTGATGACGTGACAATGTTTGTTATATAAAGAGCAATGTCGATTGTTTGGTCAGTTGCAGGTAAGGGTGTTGTTAAATAGACAGTTTTGTTCGTTGTTTGGTCAGTTGCAGGTACGTGTGCTTTGTTGTTTTGTATTTCAATTTGTTTCTGTCTTTAGCTTAAGATGTTATTCTTAAATCGTCTTAAGCTTCCTTTAACACGATGATGTATCTATCTTTAGCTCCCCATGAACGCGATGGTGTATCTGTCGTTAGCTCCACTGAACGCGATGGTGTATCTGTCTTTAGCTCGCATTGACGCAATGGTGTATCTGACTTTAGCTCCCCTTAAAGCGATGGTATCTGAATAAGCTCCCATTAACGCGATGGTGTATTTGACTTTAGCTCCCCTTAACGCTATGATGTATTTGTCTGTAGATTCCCTAAAAGCGATGGTATCAGACTTTAGCTCCTATATACGCGATGGTGTATCTGTCTTTAGCACGTATTGACGCGATTGTGAAATGACCATCACTTACCTTAAGGCTATGATGAAGTTCGGTCTGCCATAGATGATGGGCAGACGGTAGAGAGAGATCCCGATGAGTGAGATGGTGTTGGCTATGGTGATGGGGCCGATGTACTTTAGCAGCACGCCCAGTAGTCCGAAAGCTCCTAGAGATATCTCACACACTGAGGCCAGCATTAGCGCCCCCGACATCTGTGGGGAGATGGGCAGAGAGAGTTAGGGTTGGGTTGAACAAGGGAGATAACTATTAAAACTGACAGAGTGAGTAAGGGTTGAGTTAACCAAGGGAGGTAACTATTAAAACAGACAAACGGAGCAGGTTTAGGTTGATCAAGGGGGATAACTTTTAAAATGCGTCAGATTGAGAGAGGATTATGTTGACCTAAGGAGATAACACCTGACAGAGATTAGCAAAGTACTATAACATAATTAAAAAAAAGCAAGTTGAAAAAAAAAATAAAAAACACTCACAAAGGGAGACAATATATAATTTAAAAAAAAAACGTGAAATGTATCACCTAAATATTTTTTAAAATAATGATAATATAGAGATTGAAACAACTTTAAATTTTATTAATACGATATTGGCTGATTTTTCTCTATTAAAACGTGCTATGGCTCAGGTCAAACGATCTCATTTCTAAGGCAATTTCTGGATCCCTATTAATAAAGGGATAAATTAAATAGTTACTGTCCGTCCGTCACATATTGAGACGCAGTCCTTAATGGTATCTCATCACATCGAGTAAATATAGCCCTAGCCCAGGGGTCGGCAACCCTTTGAGCCGGAAGAGCCCAAAGTTAAATTTTACAAACTCTCCAAGATTTTAAAGAGCCACTAATTTTTTTTTAAATAAAATAATATTGATTAGAATTTTTTAAATACATTTAAAATAAATGGGTTTTAGTATGAAATAATATTTATCCATATAAAAATATACACATGCTTCGCACAAAACAGGATAGTTTTGTAGCTAGGTCTGCAAGGATAATAAAATCAAATCATATCAGAGACGAAGCGAGGGGGAGGGGGCGAGGGGGAGGGGGGGGGGGCGGGGGGTGCGGACCGCACCGGGTGACACCATTTAGGGGGGGGGGGTGACACCAAGGCAAATAATAGCAAAATATATAGAGAAAAACTTGGGGGCGGGTGAAAATGGAAAGTTTAAGGGGAGGGGGTGCAAATCGAAAGTTTGAGGGGGGGATGCAAATCGAAAGTTTGAGGGGGGGGGGTCGCTACGAATCTGGGGGGGGGGGGGGGGTGACACCATTAAGTGCCGCACCGGGTGACACCCGACCTCGCTACGCCACTGATATAGCCTAACTATCACACTATCCCTAGCCAATTTTGAAGCTAATACCTAAAACAATGTTACTCAAGCCAAACGATAGCACACTGAAACATTTAAAAATGCCTTCTGAATAAAATAATTACTATTTAAAATATTCGGGAAAAAATTTGCACATCGGTAGTGGAAAGCATGGAACCACTGCCACGGGGCTGGCCACAGCACAGTTGTGGGACTGGGCCTAATGCCTATGCAGCTATCTGTATAAGATGTACTCCACCTATTCTTAGTGTTTTTATCATGTTTAAACTTGTTTTTCAGTATAATATTTTTATGAGTCATGAAAATAAAATGATATAATTTTTATGGAACTGGCGAGCCCCATCCTAATATCAAAAGATTGCCGACCCCTGCCCTAGCCCTAACATGGCGGTAATAATAGACTAAGCACCACTACCAACTATTTGACAGTGGCCACCACTACCACATATATGCCACTAACACCACTACCACACATATGCCACTAATACCACTATCACAAATATGCCACTAACACTACTACCACACATATGCCACTAATACCACTATCACAAATATGCCACTAACACTACTACCACACATATGCCACTAATACCACTATCACAAATATGCCACTAACACCACTAAAACACATATGCCGCTAACACCACTACCACACACATGCCACTAACACCACTACCACACATATACCACTACCACCACTACCACACATATGCCACTAACAGAACTACCATACATATACCACTATCACCACTACCACACATATACCACTATCACCACTACCACATATGTCACAAGCACCACTACCACCCATACACCACTCTCACAACTACCACACATATGCCACTAACACCACTACCACACATATGCCACTGACACCACTACCACACATATGCCACTAACACAACAACCACACATATGTCACTAACACCACTACCATCTCTCTGTGTCCTATTACCTCTTGTAGTCTCCACCTAATCCCATTGATAGTATCCTCCTCCACTAGTCCTGTGGTATAGTTGATCCCATTCGTTGAATTATTCAGCAGAACTTTAAACAGTGAAGGTATATACACATAATTTAATTAATAGCTATGAGACGTGCAATAACAATAGCGTTTGTTTGATTGTGCGACCGCGTCAACCGAACAACTTAAAGTGCAACTTCTGAATAAAGTGACCATCTACATAAAAACGTGTTTTAATAATGTTTTATTTACAAATTATTACCGACAAAACCTCTATTATAGCCACTTATTTAATGTAACCTATAAGTAAATACTGTACATTGATTGGCGCAAAGAGACACATTGGAAGTGTGGGGGGGGGGGGGCATGTCGAATAGACAATGCTAGACTTGATGTGTCATTAACGCCAACAATCAATTCAAATTTTGGCGTCATCTTTCTTCATTTTACACCACTATGGCTCTTGAACTCTTTTATTTAAAGTAAACTTTCATCCTCTTGCACACAGTTTTAAAACGAATTTATACAAGTTCTCTAATAATTTTACACTACATTCTTGAATTATTTTGTTTAATTTTATCTTTCATCATCTTACACACAGTTTTAAAACTAATTTATGTGATTTCTCTCATAGTCTTAAACTACATTCTTGAACCATTTTGTTTAATGTCATCTTTCGCCATCTAACATAACGTTTTTAACACGTTTTTATTAACTCAGCTTCGCGTGGATGTGTTTGTTGTTAAAATTGACATCGAAAATTAGCCCACTTCTGATTGCTCTATAGATCTGAAATTTGGCATGCAGGTTACTTTCGCCTAACAATTTCAGATGCAATCATAAAAACTAGCAATTAGAGATCGTAATTAGCTTAATTTAATTACGCCCAAAGGACCATAAAATTGAGGACATGATTTCTAAAGATACCGACAAGACTGGAGGCTTATAGACACAGTTACTTCGGCCCCAATCGATGTGAGCGCGCTGGCCGTGATCGTATAGTGGTTAGTACTTCGCGTTGTGGCCGCGACAACCCAGGTTCGAATCCTGGTCGCTCAAGATTTTTTTAGTCCGTGTATTTATATACACTTAGTCAAGTCATACTTAATCAAGTCATTAGATTAAGTAAGAAATAAACTATATAAAAAACTTTTTTAAAAACCACGTTTTTCATGTGTAGCAACGGACTAAAAAGGAGTCGGGCAGATGGGTCGGGAAATTTGATGGTGAACCAACGTTTTTTGTCATCAAATGTATGTAAATAGTTATTTTCTACTTTTTAGTCCACAAGAAAAACGTGGTTTTTTAAAAAGTTTTTTTTAAGTATTTTTTAATACGTTTTTATTAACTCAGCTTCGCGTGGATGTGTTTGTTGTTAAAATTGACATCGAAAATTAGCCCACTTCTGATTGCTCTATAGATCTGAAATTTGGCATGCAGGTTACTTTCGCCTAACAATTTCAGATGCAATCATAAAAACTAGCAATTAGAGACCGTAATTAGCTTAATTTAATTACGCCCAAAGGACCATAAAATTGAGGACATGATTTCTAAAGATACCGACAAGACTGGAGGCTTATAGACACAGTTACTTCGGCCCCAATCGATGTGAGCGCGCTGGCTGTGATCGTATAGTGGTTAGTACTTCGCGTTGTGGCCGCGACAACCCAGGTTCGAATCCTGGTCGCTCAAGATTTTTTTAGTCCGTGTATTTATATACACTTAGTCAAGTCATACTTAATCAAGTCATTAGATAAAGTAGAAAATAAACTATATAAAAAACTTTTTTAAAAACCACGTTTTTCATGTGTAGCAACGGACTAAAAAGGAGTCGGGCAGATGGGTCGGGAAATTTGATGGTGAACCAACGTTTTTTGTCATCAAATGTATGTAAATAGTTATTTTCTACTTTTTAGTCCACAAGAAAAACGTGGTTTTTTAAAAAGTTTTTTTTAAGTATTTTATTGAACTCTTCCATTCACAAACTAGCAACGCATTTTGTTTACCGTTGGGACTTGTCTTCGGACACATCCAGATTGGGTCACGTGATAAGGCTAAAAGCGGCACCACAAAGGACGAGGACGGGCCTTGAAATATTGGTAACCTGTGGCAGAAATACTTAACACTTTAACGACAGTTGTGTAATCTGTGACATACAGACTCAACACTTTAACGACAGTTTGGTAACCTGTGACATACAGACTCAACACTTTAACGACAGTTTGGTAATCTTTGACATAAAGACTCAACACTTTAACGACAGTTTGGTAACCTGTGACATACAGACTCAACACTTTAACGACAGTTTGGTAACCTGTGACATAAAGACTTAACACTTTAACTACAGTTTGGTAACCTGTGACATACAGACTCAACACTTTAACGACAGTTTGGTAACCTGTAGCATAAAGACTCAAAACTTTAACGACAGTTTGGTAACCTGTGACATAAAGACTTAACACTTTAACGACAGTTTGGTAACCTGTGACATAAAGACTCAACACTTTAACGACAGTTTGGTAACCTGTGACATAAAGACTCAACACTTTAACGACAGTTTGGTAACCTGTGACATAAAGACTCAAAACTTTAACGACAGTTTGGTAACCTGTGACATAAAGACTCAAAACTTTAACGACAGTTTGGTAACCTGTGACATAAAGACTCAACACTTTAACGACAGTTTGGTAACCTGTGACATAAAGACTCAACACTTTAACGACAGTTTGGTAACCTGTGACATAAAGACTCAACACTTTAACGACAGTTTGGTAACTTGTGACATAAAGACTCAACACTTTAACGACAGTTTGGTAACCTGTGACATAAAGACTCAAAACTTTAACGACAGTTTGGTAACCTGTGACATAAAGACTCAACACTTTAACGACAGTTTG